CAAATTCAGTATTTTGTGACCCTACACTTCATGGTTGGGTGCTATAATACTTCTTACACAAGATAGTTTGATTTTACATTCTTAATTTGATGCAGTAGTCCAAAAAGTGAGTTCAGATCAATAGCAGTAATACTTAGGTTTTCCTCTTGAAGTTCAATTCACATCCCTCAGTTCTGTAGCTAACACATACGTGTCTGTTTTATGCGGCAGAAATATAGGTTGACTGCTTATCGGGTCAGTGCTGCTTCTTAATAAACAGCACTTATCTCTTTGAAACAACACCCTGCCCTAAATAAGTTTGTCTGGGGAGTTGAGCCAGAAATAGCTTCTTGGTTTTTATTGGATGGTAAAAAAGAAATCATTGGAAAAGAAGATACTTAACATGAAACTAGACGGTGGTGGTTGTCATGCATTCGGAACAGCATGGATCTTGGGGTTTTCTCTCCCTCACATGTACAGGTTGAAAGACTCCGTGATCACATCTTTCCCCAGGAGTCTGCTGTTCCCAGCATTTCTTGTTACTCTCAAAAGTGAATATATGCCCTCATTTGTATTTAGTTTGTCACTAAACTCCAGTGGAGGAATGTAATCATGCTGTTGAGCAACATGTGTTCGTGTTGATCCCTGAATGCAGATAGATACAGATACTGCAGATAGATGCAGATATTTACAGATAGAGGAGCTTCATTGCACCCCTGTGAGAAGTAATAATCAATCCCATTTTAATATATAGAGAGGAGGACTTGTTGCTTAATTACAAAACTACTTAATTTTACAGCATAAAAAGGTGTGTGTGGGGTCCCCTCTTCAATGATGCTCTTCCTATACTTCCAAATCTTGTAAGCTTCTCTGCATTTCTGAAAACTAGTCATGATGTACCAAATTTGGCACAGAAAAAGGAAGTGGAATTGGGATGTGGCAGTAGATACGGGAGCGTTAGAAGGCATAGAAGTAGGCAGCAAGGAGAAGGGAAATGCTTACTATTGATGATAGTTGACCAGGTAATGGTGGTAATGCAGCTAGGATGCAGTGTGTGCAGAAAATGAAATGTTAATATACAGATACCTGGAGCTTGGGCAGAAAACTGAAATACGGGGATCATGGAATCATCAAACCATGGATTACCAAAAAACACAGAATAATGTTAATGACTAGGAAGTGGCTGTTACAGAAAGAAGAAAGTAAAGATGGAAGTGTAAGTAAAGATGGAAGTGTAAGTGTAGTGATGAACTGCAAAGGTGAAGCAGGAGAACAGCCAAAATCATTGGTGGGGAGCCCCTTTTGATGGTAAATCATGGTAAAAAATGATGGTAAATCAGAATCTGTCAGAGTAGAAGTGAGTGCTTGTACATCCCCTAGATCAGATTTGGAGGTGGGTAATAGAAACCTTTGTGATATTGCAAGTATCAGTATTTGTGGGAGTATTTTTATGTTGCTCTCCAGCTGATAAAGCTGTAAATAACTCGGTTACGTGTCAGATCCACAGCAGAAGGTTCTTTCCACTTAATGACACAGAAACTCTGTGAATTTGTCATGCCAAGCAGAGGGATGTGGTGACTGTGGGGGCCACCTGAGGGAGTCAGTCACCTTCAGAATAATATGTGAAGTAAGCAGAGGTCCTGTAAGTGTTGGGAAATGATGAGAAATCCGTGTCTTGGAAGTCAGGGTGTGCAGGAATTCAGAAAAATGAAAACTCCTAAAGGTTGAGCTGAGTTATGAAGATGCGAAGATAGGCTGAGAGAGTTGGGGCTGTTCAGCCTGGAGAAGAGAAGGCTGCGTGGAGACCTAAGAGCAGCTTCCAGTATCTGAAGGGGGCCTGGAAGGATGCTGGGGAGGGACTCTTCATTAGGGACTGTAGTGACAGGACAAGGGGTAACGGGTTAAAACTTAAACAGGGGAAGTTTAGATTGGATATAAAGAAGTTCTTTACAGTGAGGGTGCTGAGGCACTGGAATGGGTTGCCCAGGGAGGTTGTGAAAGTTCCATCCCTGGCAGTGTTCAAGGCCAGGTTGGACAGAGCCTTGGGTGCCATGGTTTAGTGTGAGGTGTCCCTGCCCATGGCAGGGGGGTTGGAACTGGATGATCTCAAGGTCCTTTCCAGCCCTATTCTATGATTAGAGTCAGCAAGGTATTTCAGCTTGCCTTTCGGGATGTGAATGGCAAAGGTCAGATGCAGATGGGCTGCTTGCGGTGAGCACTGAGTTTTCGGTAGGAGCTTTTGTTTGAAAACTAAGATGTTTTGCCTCATTTTCCAGTACAGGTGTTGACACTGCAAAGGCAAGGTGGATGGCTTGTAAGAATGATACTAAAATGAGAATTTCGGTGTTTGCATTGAAAGCAAAACTGAACGAGTTGGTGGACTTAAACTGGGGAGGCAGAAAAAGCCTTTATCACAGAAACGTGACGTTTTAGGTCATGGAAATTACAAGTATTTAGGAACAAGCATCTTATACATATCAATTGAGATAGTGTTGGAGGATCACAGACTTTAATGGTAATGCTAAAGAAAGGGAGGGGAAAAATCCCCAAATTGAACCTTTGTAATGTGACATCAGAAGGGTGTATGGCTCAGAATGCATTTGGAAGTTCTGAAACAAGCTTCCTGAAGTAAAATAAATGAGAAAACCTAAGAATCTTTTAAATAGAATAACTAACCCCCCCCCCCCCTTCATATCCCCAGTGTCAAACCAAACTGTCTGGATTCTGATGAAATACCTGTATGTGAGGAAATTGGTGCTGAAAGTCAGATTAGTAGAATGGTAAAAATAAATGAGGAGGTTGAGGCCCCCAACACACGAGGGATGTGGAGCTGTTGGAACAAGTCCAGAGGAGGCCACGGAGATGCTGCGAGGGCTGGAGCAGCTCTGCTCTGGAGCCAGGCTGAGAGAGCTGGGCTGGGTCAGCCTGGAGAAGAGAAGGCTCCTGAAGGGGAGACCTTAGAGCAGCTCCAGTGCCTGAAGGGGCTGCAGGAAACCTGGAGAGGGGCTTTGGACAAGGGCCTGGAGGGACAGGCCAAGGGGAATGGCTTTAACCTGCCAGAGGGGAGACTGAGATGAGCTCTTAGGCAGAAGCTCTTCCCTGTGAGGGTGCTGAGGCACTGGCACAGGGTGCCCAGAGAAGCTGTGGCTGCCCCATCTCTGGCAGTGTTCGAGGCCAGGTTGGACACAGGGGCTTGGAGCAAGCTGCTCTAGTGGAAGGTGTCCCTGCCTGTGGCAGGGGTTGGAACTGGATGAGCTTTTGAGGTCCCCTCAACCTAAACCATTCCATGATTCTGTCATGAGTGGGAAACTGGCCATGGGGAGTGTTGAAGGATAAAATGGGAAATGATGCTACTGAGGTTGGGAAGAGTCTTGTTCATTATTTCATTAATGATCTTTACATAAATGTTAGGAATAAGTACCTGAAATTTCATCATGGGGCATATGAGGCCTTGTCCACACAAGGAGGACCTGAGCATCATACAGAATAAAGCAGGATAATAGGTGGTGGGTTAAAAAATTATCTATTAAAGCTCATGTAGCTGGGAGTTAGTAGTGAGCTGAGAGATGGGCACGTGTCTGACTGGTCACTGATGGCCAGAAGCTGCTGTGAACAAGGCAGTGGTACAACAGGTAAATCCAGTTTAGGGCTTGCTAGCCTTCTTTCCAATTCAGAGATGAAAGTATCAGTGTGGCTGTGCTGGACCTTAATGGGACCTCATGTAGAGTAACAGTTGCTCTTGTTCAGGAAGGATGCACTTTAAAAGGAACTGGAAGGATGAGAACAAAGCCTTGTTTGTGGGAAGACACTGGTAGAAGTAGTATAGACTAGAATGAAGAATTAAATGAGAATTTGTTTAAGATCTTAAAATGCAATAAGGAATATTTAATCTTAAGGTCAGTGAGTGTAACCTGACAGTGAATAAATAAGCATGGAAGGATGTTTCAGAGCATGAGAGCACCACATTCCTGGAACAGCTTTCCAGTAGGGAAAGCAAGGGTGGAAAAGTGGTGACTGATGTGCTAATGAAGGGATGTGTATTATTTCTGGTGCTAGCAGAGGACTGAATGGGATAAACCCAGGAAACCACACCTCGAGTTTTACATAGGGAATGAGAAGCCTCCTGTGTTATTTCACACACACAAAGATTTTGCTGCTAGTTGTTACTGTTCTAGAGGGTGGAAACGCTGAGTACTGATGCTGCAGGAGTTTTGGGTACTCAAGTTGGTACCTTATGTGCTTCTCTGTGAATTTTTAGTGGAATTTCCTAGATTGCAATAATCACAAGCAGCTATTTTGCTTCTGCTTCACATTGTCTAATCTGTGGCTGATGTCGGAGCTCAAGAACACAGTACAGCAGACTATTTGCTCTATTTCCTTCCTGTTTATAGGAAGCAGTAGGATACAGTTTAATTCTAATGCATATCATTTTCCAGAGAGCTGCAACATGTAGGAATAGCTCCTGTGCTGTATTCACCTCTTTGACAGGCTGTGCAGTATGGTCATTAGAGCAAAATACATATGGCTGAAATGCATGCATTGTAGTTGCTTTAGATGCATGCAACTCATCCAGATGTGATTGCAGAGCTGGTTTAAGTGGCAGGAACTCCATTCTTATAGGTGTTTGCTCAGATAAATGTGGTTAGGTGAATGGCTTTGGTGTGTGGTTTGAAACTGAGGTTCTTCCCTGCAAAGGAGATCTGGTTCTCACTTTGCCAATGCCCACTTGGTCTCTAAAATTCCCACCTATTCCTATACTTGTAGTATAGGAAAATGCAACTGATTTTAAGGTTTTGTTCAGTAATCGGGGCTTGGTGAACTACCACAGGGAGAAGACAGAATTCAGGGACTCCTAGGAGTAGTGGGTTCTTTTGAGTCATGTTTTTCCCCTAGTTTTTACATTGTTTAACAAAAGTTACTGGTTTAAATGTGCTGTGCTTCATTGTTCAAATAGCCTGTAAATGTGTTTAACTGCCACTTTGGTATAACTGATAGCTAATTTGTACTTGCTTTATTTTCAGTGCTTGCACCTCCTCCACCGTTGCCACCACCAGTACAGGGATATGCCTTTAAACCCCCTCCTCGACCAGATTTTGGCACTTCTGGGAGAACAATCAAACTGCAGGCCAACTTCTTTGAAATGGACATTCCTAAAATAGATATCTACCATTATGAATTGGATATAAAGCCAGAAAAATGCCCTAGAAGAGTTAACAGGTAATAACTCTGTTTTGCTTTTCCTCAGTTTTCCTTTGAAATGCTGGAGAGTGTGTTGTCTTCACTGATGGCTTGCAGGATGTGTCTGTCTTCAAGTCGTTGTTTGTGCTGATAGCTTCCAACTTGGCATATCCATCAACAGGCTTCAAGTCTTTCTGTACCAATTCAAGATTTGAGTGTTAATCGTCCCTTATTTTGATTGAACTTGTCAGCGTCTTAAGATGCTGCTGATCAAAGCCACTGTGACAGATGGATAAAGTGTACTAACTCTAGTGGAGTGAGGTCAGTATAAGCCAAGTTGATAAATACGATTCTTCATATTGCTTGGTTAAATATTGAGTGCAGTTGGCTGACAAGCCCTTCAGAAGGGAGCTGGTGTTACCAGCTTGTTTTTCTAACTTCCCCTGCTGACAGGGGGAGGCAAAACCCACTTGTTTGTGCTGCTGCAATAACATCGTGGAGGGACTAAGAAATTATCCTTCATTAGTGGATTCTATATAAGAAAAAGATATGCTTCTGAAAACAGATAGCAAGGTGAAAACATGCATCAGTTGGTGAAGGAAACAAGCAATTAGGTGTTGCGTTTTGCGTATGTGCCCTATTAGTCAGTGTGGTAACCTCATTGACTTGAAAGAGTGGTGTTGCCAGAAGTGAAACTTGAAAACAAGACTTGGCAATAACTAGAAACCACAAGTGTCATCATTGTAGCTACCTACATCTTGACTGTGGAGGATCGGAATGGTGTGTTTCTGTATTCAAGAGCAAAACCTTTCCTTATTAGAAAAAGAGCACATGGGTGGGATATGCAGTCGGGAACATGAGCAAAGTGTGGAGCCACTTGAATGCCAACGTTTTCTTAATGTGAATTAAGAAACTGGAGTACATTATCAGCTGCGATACTAAAGAATCAGTAATGCTTCATTTTCATAAAGCAGCACCACTGCTCTTTGCTGTCCTTTTTTGATGTATTACCAGTTTAATTTTTAAGCTAGTTGAGAAGTGAATTCAATTTTAAAAGCAAACACTTGTAAGTGTATTAAGCCAAACTCTCTCTTTGCCCAGGGGCAACCCTGCTAATTATACTGAGCTCCTCTTACCACATTGGGGCACTGAAAAGTGTTTGCAGCACTCAGTTTTTTCATAGTGGGAGCCATGAGAGCTTTGCTTTCATTAACAGATACCCCTGCCACCAGCTCCAGCCCTGGCAATTGCTGTTGTCTGGTGCAGATTGCCAATGTTACGTAGCTTCTCTGGGAGCTAAGTGCTGCACTGCTCCTGGGTGTTGTAGCTCAGTGTGGTCACCCCCATGATGGTCCAGCATGTGGGTACTTGCTCACCAATGGCAGAGAGCTTAATTATTAAATCATAAAGCATTTTTTCTCACTGAAGAGGCAGATTATATTCAGTAGCAAGTTCTCTCTCAGCTGACAGCTTCTGACCTGCTCTGCTTTGTCAGGTTAATCACTCCCTCTGTTGTGGTAACAGGAGCAAGTATAAATCTACATATATTAAATGCCTTTTGCAGTAGACAGAGATGTCATAAATGCATTTGTCAGTGGTATGGTGCATATTTCTCGGTGCAGTGTCGGAAGAATACAAATTGGATTCACTTAATGAAGTGTATGTTTTATTTCTTTTAAGTGCTTATGCCTCTGTGTCCTGTAGGTGTACGTGTACACACCTGTGCCTGTGTTTGTGAGCTCTGATCTTTAAGTCCTACATGGATACCTGTATTTTTATGTGTACTTATACATATGTATATAGGATTATGCAGTGCAATTCTAAATTCTATTTATTCATCTGGCTTATGTTTTTCTAGTATTTTTGGTTATATAATTCATATGTATATTTATAGTAAATAGTTCTTGTCATTACTTTATATGTTGTAGCCTCTAGAAAGGATGGAGGGAGATTTTATGTTCATTTACACTGCTCCCTCATCTGTTCCCAGCTTTGTCCTTCAGTTTTATGCTATAACTTACTACAGCTTGGACTATGGCCCTGCAGACCCGCTGCAGGGATGTGTACATGGAAATTCCTTACTGAGACGGGAGCTGGAGCAGGACTGGGAAACACACAGCTGAGACAACGTGGTGTTGTGCCAGACTAATACAGTCTGGCGACAGTTTGTGTCTTGCAGAAAGGCCAGATCTATTTGCATAGTTAGATAGAGTGGGCAGTGTCAGTTTGGTTCTGCTCCGTGGATGCCTTTGGTTTAATTCAGGAGGACAGTGAAGACTCATCCAAGGTTCAAGATGAACTCTGCAGTCGCTGTCCCCAGGTTCTTGCTGTGTTTGCATGATCTCAGTAGAATAGTAAGTCCCAAAGGGCTGAAGTTAGTGAATTGGTAAATCCATCTTCCTTTAACTTCACAGAGAGAAAATAACTTAGTTTTTAGTACGCTTTCTCCACCCACAGCTGAGAACCACCATTGCTGAATGTGGTTTACAGCTTGAAAAGCTTAAGCAGAAGTGTTCATTTTTATATGAAGTAGTTCACAATCGGAAGAACTTGCTCAGTGAGAGAATGGGTTTTCCATTGCTCAGTCCTTAACTCAAGCTTGAAAAATACCTCCTTCCTCCCACCCTCCAGTTTAGGTACTTGTTCAGACACTGCAGACCTGAGGCAGGTATTACTGGGTCAGGTTTTACTCGTACTTCTCTGGAGGTCAGGCAGGTTTCTTTCAGCGGTCACATCTTGTCTTAAAGCCTTGGGACACAGCAAAGAAATTGGCAATTGAAAAAGTCTTCCTCCTTTTCTTGACTGAATTCAGCGTTTCATCTCAAAGTTTTGCTGTAATACCTAGCTGGGTGCTGGGTTAATGACCTTTCCAACTCAAGGCGTATGAAATAGTCACCTGCAGCATCTCTGAGCTGCTGTTTGACAGCAGCACTGTGGTTTCCTTTCTGTGTCACTTTAACCACTTCATGCCCTTTTGCCCCAAGCTGTGCGTTAAGGATCGTGGAGGCAGCATTTTGCAGACTGCTGATGGCTTTCAGGTTTTACAGCCTGAAGGATGTCTCTCTGGGACATTTTGACCAAGGACCTTTGGCATCAAAGGGTGCTGTTTTACCAACAGCCCCCTCGTCATGCAAAGCAGTTTGCATGACCAGTGTGTAAACACTGTGGTTTCACAATGACTTTGTGAGTGGTTACCTCATTCATACAAACACACAACCTAATTCCACTACCCTTAAATGAAGGTGTATTTTTAATATGCACAGGTCCCAGTGACTGCACATAACCAGTTTTGTTGGAGGGAGCCCGGTTCTGCTGCGTACAGGAAAATACTGCATTTAAAAGTGAGCTTTTTTAGCGCAATGCAGAAAGTTTGCATATCACTCATCACAGAATTATTGTCCTTAAGGCTGTAAGCTTGGATTTGAAAGCTTCTCCAGCTGCTGAGCTTTTGGTCCATGATCCTCTGCAGAAAGGACTGTAAGGTGGGGAGCAGAAGCCCCAGGAGAATACCAAGCACCTCTCATTTTGAGTTTGAGAGAGCACAAGTTTTCGCTTTACCACTTTCAGTAGATCACAAAAAAGAGGAAGGAAAGTTTCAATCTGAAACAGCTAAAAATAGTTGCTTTAAGAAAACAGTTTAGTCTGTGAAAAGGTTGCTTTGATTCAGATCAGTCAAACAAATCTTTCCTTTAATACCCCGCAGTGGACAACCCTTTCATTTACCTAATGCCTCTATTCATAAATATTAGTGTTCATCTGCTGCTTCACGTTAGAAGTCAAAAGCTGAATTAACGTTTTCTTTTTATATTTTCAGGGAAATAGTGGAGCATATGGTTCAGCACTTTAAAACCCAGATTTTTGGGGATCGCAAACCAGTGTTTGATGGAAGAAAAAACCTTTATACTGCTATGCCGCTTCCCATTGGGAGAGATAAAGTAAGTTTTAAATAGAAAAGTTTCCAATTGGAGATTTTAAGGTAATATTTGCAGAGCCTTTCTAACAACTGATCAAAACTGATTTTCTGGAATAGACCTATCCTGCTGCTGCTGCTTTGCTCAGAGTGTGGTTTGCCAGGACAGGAAAAGTGAGCTTGTTGCAGTCAAAGGCGGTCATTCCCCTTCCCATATCCTTCTTTCCTGCCTCTCTTTCTCCCCACTTGCATGGTTTCTTCTGGTTTAGTGAGCTGGATCAACTGCCCAAGGCAGCGGCCAGGCTCTGTGCTGGCACTGCAGAGAAAGTGAAAGCACAGTTGGGTTGGGAGAGGGGAGCAGAAGCTGTTGTGTCAGCTCCTTAATCTCATCAAAGCCCACTGTAAGCTGATTCTTGCTCTCCACTAGCTGGGAGAAACTCCTCCATCCCTTCATTGCCTCTGTGGAACCTCTTCCCTAATCCTTTACGATGTGAAAGCCGCATTAATTTAAACTACACAGGTTGAGACCTGCTACCTTAGCCCTGGGGCAGTTGAAGAGGACTCGTGTGTTCTGTTTCCCAGCTCTGTATGTGGGGCAGTGGCCTCTCTGGTCACTCTGGTTGTAGCAGCAAAGAGTACCCCTATCTGTGCCCATTGACTGGTGAAGTAGAAGGGGCTGTGTTGGAACACAAACTCTATAAAGTAATTAAGCCTACACATCTGTGTTCTAGTATCAGATTGGATTTTCTGTGGCCTTGTTTATTTGCATGAACACTTGAAGACAGTCCTTCTTGTTACATGTTTGTAGCACAGTTAATTCCCATTTTTGGGAATGGATTCATATGGTTCCATAGAATTTGACTGCCACGTAGGCAGCAAAAAGAGAGAAAGGTAAATAGCAATGTGGAAAATTGCTTATGTGATTAAAACTGTGAAAAGAGCTTAGGTCACCCAAAATCCAGTAGCAGTGTGCTATAGAGTAGCTCTTGCTATCTTTTGCTGTCTCATGTTGTATCCCTGTGCAGTGCTTGACATAGTTCTACCTGTATCAAGCTCTTGATCTCATATGTGTAAATTTAATTTCCCCCAAATATATTTAAGTGCATGTCATGCAGTAAAGGTCAGTCTCTATTCTAGTCTGTTATTTTTCATTAACTGATAAGGTGGCATCTGGGAAAACTCTAAAGGAATCATTAAAAGTATTAGAGATTATCCCCCCCCCCCCCCCAATTCCACATACTGTATTCCAGTTCCTACAGATCTGCCCATATATTTTACAACAAGTTGGAAGTTCTGCATTAAATCAGTCAAGGCAAATAGAAGAACAGTTTATGGAGGATAAACAAACTGAGATCAAAATAATCCTTGGATCTGATGAAAGTGTGACCCTACTCTGATTAGGAACTGCATAAGATGCCTTCCTCCCTCTCCTGTTCCTTCTGTGCCTGAATGTTGCTCATCAAACAGGACTTGATTCTTGATGTTTTGGATTTTAAAGCCCAGATCTACTAAATCATACATGGTAAAAATGAAGTTGAATTGCAGTATCAGCAGGAAATCCTTTTGATGCCCCAATGCCTTTGTGTCTGTGCAAGTGAGTGGTGCGAGGTAGCTTGTACCTGGGAAGAGGCTGGCTTGAATGATTGTGTTCACCATTTTCGGTGGGACAGGATTATCCAGCCAAAGAGATGATCATTTGCAACAGATGGTCACTGAGGAGTCTTTATAGTGGAGGTTAGCATAAGATGGTTCAGAGAGTTTCATCTGTAGCTCATTTCTAGGCTTACTTTTAATAAACTCCTGTTTTTCCCTGTTGCTCATGGGATGTAGGACTTTGGTTGTTCAGCCATACATAGAATCATAGAATAGTTAGGGTTGGAAAGGACCTTAAGATCATCAAGTTCCAACCCCCCTGCCATGGGCAGGGACAACTCACACTAAACCATGTCACCCAAGGTTCTGTCCAACCTGGTCTTGAACGCTGCCAGGGGTGGAGCATTCACAACTTCCCTGGGCAACCCATTCCAGTGCCTCACCACCCTAACAGGAAAGAACTTGTTTATATCCAATCTAAACTTCCCCTGTTTAAGTTTTAACCTGTTACCCCTTGTCCTATCACTACAGTCCCTAAAGAAGAGTCCCTCCCCAGCATCCCTATAGGCCCCCTTCAGGTACTGGAAGGCTGCTCTGAGGTCTCCACGCAGCCTTCTCTTCACCAGGCTGAACAGCCCCAACTTTCTCAGCCTATCTTCACACGGGAGGTGCTCCAGCCCCTGATCATCCTCGTGGCCTCCTCTGCACTTGTTCCAACAGTTCCATGTCCTTTTTATGTTGAGGACACCAGAACTACACACAATACTCCAGGTGAGGTCTCCTGAGAGCAGGGTAGAGGGGCAGGATTACCTCCTTGGACCTGCTGGTCACGCTCCTTTTGATGCAGCCCAGGATGCATATGTTGATGTTACTACCCTGGAGCAAAGAGCTAATGGAGGTAAATCTTCAGCTGGTTTAAATAGGATGTGGGGAAATGTAGCTTAATGGGGGAATATTTTAAATGGTGCTAAATTGGTTTAAGCATGATTTAAACCAGTATAAATCTTGTAGGCTTTAGGACTTTCCTCTGACACAATTAGATTAAGTTTTGTTGATGGGGTTTTCTGGCTGTTCTGTACATAACAAATGTAGCAAGTTTGCTGCACATCTGATTATATTTAGGTTCCTATTGAAAAGATCCATGAACCTACAGTGATTAATAGGTGATCCTTAATCTCAGTAGTAGAAGACCTTGATTTACTTGCAGTGTACATCGCTAGTGGAAGAACTGATGCTAAACAGAATGCTGACACCAAATTGCCAACATGTTTCCCTCCTGTTGCTCTTTAACTTAATTAATGGACTTTGTCCTCATCTCTTGTCAGTAGTGGCTGTTCTGGGATTAGTTTGGTTCTTTTGTCCTTGCTGACAACCCTCTTCTTTTACAACTTCTGCTATTACATATTCTCTGCCTGGCCTTCATGGTTATCATCTCTGTTTTCATTCCTTCCGTAGCGTACCTTATTTTCAGTCTTTAATTCCTTCATTTCTTTAGACCTTTGGAGATAAATATGGAATATGTAAATAGTAACAGAATATTTTCTTAGTTTTTAAGGAGTATTTTCAGTCTAGGAATTGGAATAGAAATTCTCCAGTCTTGGGTCTTTTATTTCCTCCAGGGTCCTGGGTATTGCAACACAGGTAGTCCTGCTCTACATCTTTTTTCATGCCATTGCAATGAAGGAGTTCTGTAAATTGAAACCAGGAGGGGGGGAAAAATAAAAGTAAATCTTTTTTTTTTTTTTTTTAGATTAAGGGTAGCAGAGCTGTTAATAATCAGAGCAGTTTTGCATTAACAGTATCAGGACTAACAGAAAATATGAAACTTGATTTGGAGGAGACGTTTAGAGGAAAATACAGTTCAGGTGTGACAGATGTTTTCCATCTGCTCTAAATAAGATGCAAGTTGAAGACCTTTTGATGGTGTGGTGGGAAATGAATGCTTCACAGAAGGCTTCCAACCTTTGCCAGCTGAAAACCTGTACCTTTATTTGCACAGCTTTCCAGCAGAGTTAACCTTCTGGGCCAGATTCAGACCGGTGACCCCACAATTAGAGCCTGCAGTTCCCATTGCCTTCCCACAGCCATACAGCTCCTTCCTCTGCTCAAGTCTCCTGGTGAATGGTGTTTGTATGGGAGGAGGGATGTGACTGTAATACTGATTTGGTGTGCACACTCTAAACTGTGAACTCGTCTTTTTGCATACAGGAACGCTTGTTATTTGTGTTTCATCTTTCCTTCCTATTGTTTGACTGGGGAAGCTAACTGTCGCCGAACACCAGCTGATTGCATATATTAGCTTGCTGTTATCCATGTATTATATTTGCTAGCCCACTAATTACAGTTTGTCTGTTAAGTGGATGCCTTCTATATGTAAATTGTGAGCTCCCTAGGACAGGAAAGTACACTGGTTTTGTTTATATGCAGCACAAAGGATACTGTGATCTTGTTATTCCTTGTAGTCACTCCCAGCACTGCTCATCGCTTCAGACAAGCCTTAATTTTAGTCAGTTTAAGAACTTTGTGGTGCTCAGGCTTTCTTTGTTTTAATAAAGAGGAGAAATGAGCATTACAACTAATTACAAGTCATTAGCTGAAGTATTTTACCAAGATGTAGTTTGCCAGTGTTTTTTTAGACACAAAATTCTAAGTAGGGCTTGACATGTCAAAGGAGTGCCCCTGTTTGCTGCCTGATAGCATCACTGCATCGCTACTACTTTGGGGCCATCATTTATTCTTTCTTTGGTACTTCAAAATTGAGAGGGTTTGGGGTTGATGGGTTTTGTGGGGGTTTTGTTTTGTTTGGGGTGTGTTATTTGACCTTTTCTTCTTTGAAAGGTCCTGTTGAATTGTATTTTCTCCTGTTTGAACTATGTCTACAGTAATAGTATTTAAAGCCCTCTGGTGCTCTAGAGAGTGAGTACCAGAAATACATGAATCTTGGCAGGTAGTGACAGACCAGGTTTTACTTCAGATGTGCAGGAGCTGACTTGAGCTGTGATGCATTGCAGTGTGTTAGCTATCTGAAATCAGGTTATCGGATCTTCACAGAGACCTCCCAGTTGATATGCAAGCACTCCCAAATTATAATGTTGACTTAAAGGAGGAGGTAGGTGCCAGCTGGGAAGCACGCCCGCTCTCTGAAATACACCTTTGGAAAGATCTACCTGTAAAAAGAGGCTGTACCTGATGTGTATTGTTTCTTCATCATTGCTTTTTGTCTATTCCCATGCCTTATAGCACTGTGTAGAGGAATCCATCGTCTCTTCCCTTTTCCCCTTTAAATGGAAAGAATCATCTTGGTTTGTTGTTTGGCATTGTTGCAGGTGGAGCTGGAGGTCACGCTGCCAGGAGAAGGAAAGGACAGAATATTTAAGGTGGCTATAAAGTGGATGTCCTGTGTGAGTTTGCAGGCATTACATGATGCTCTTTCTGGTCGGCTGCCGGGTGTCCCATTTGAAACCATCCAAGCACTGGATGTAGTGATGAGGCACTTGCCTTCCATGAGGTGAGGGGAAGACCTTGACTTTGCTTAGTTGGTGGTTTTGTTATTTGAATTGTTTTAGTGGCTTTTTGGGTAGGATGTGCTTTCATAGCTCAACTAAAGCAATAGCTATCTAGCAGATGGTATGCTCAGGCAAGAGGCAGTGCAGTGATTTTCTGCTCATTCAGTGGAATTAGTAACCTCCAGCCTTGGACACAAGACACTTTCCACACTGGTGTTCAGTCTGTGTGCTCTCAGGTGAGGGGTGCCCTGCCATCTCTCATACCCACTTCTCTGTACACCTCAGAGAAGGAAGCTCTCCCCGAGTGGAAAGTAGTTGGAGATTGATGGATGTGTGAGGGTGGCTTTAAAACTTGTTACCCTATTCTGTGTGTCCTTGGGCAGATGTTACTGCTGGTTTTGTATGAAGGACACTGTGCTGTAGGGGAACATTAATGTCACTCACTATAGCTCTTTTTATAGAAAGGAAAATAATTGGGTTTTTTTCTTTCCAAGCAAGTGGAATCTACAGCGTTTGCAGCCAAACCCAGGAGATACTGGGTTTAATTCAGCTGCCGTGAAACAAGTTGCTGAAGACCGCTGATCGAACTGCATTCAGTTGGAAAGTAAAGAACAAAATAGGGCTGAACTTTCCCATTTTGAAGGGCTAAATAGGGAAAATGAGTTAAATTTATGTAAAGATCTTTAAATAGCCTTACAGTACATTGACTTTATCTGCTTATTAGGGATTAAACAAAATCACTTCAGTCAAGTTTTGTAACACAGAAAACAGCCGAGATTTGTTAGTCACACATCTTTGTTCAGAGAACCATACTGGCTCTGGGTTTGATTAGTTTAATGTTAGGTGTGCAGTGCTGAATTTCCATGGAGAAAGATGCCTCAAAAATATCTGTTAAATCAGTTGTTTTCCGTAGATTTCAGGGGAAGCAGTGCATAAATAAGGGGAGAGTTTATTTTAGTGTTGCTTCAATAGCAGGGATGTTTAATTATTTTCTCACTAAAGCATAACTGATTTTTCTAATAGAGTACCAAATAAAAGCATAGCTGAATTTTTAGTAAGAGTACAAAAGATGGTTTTAGCGCTTTTTGTTTGAATTAGTAGGCATAATAAGGAGTATACTGAAAATAGATTTAAACAATTATGAGTAGTGGTCAGTTTCTTACTGTAACTTACCTGGATTTTAAGAGATGTCCTGACGGGAATCTCAGATTGTTGGTAATCTGAAACAGTGACATTTCTCTGCTTTTGTGAATAGGAATTTGCATTAGTTATGGATTTATTACCTTTTTCTTGCTTTAGTTTTATGATCTGAATTTCTTCCCTCTGTTGCAGATATACTCCTGTGGGGCGATCTTTTTTTACAGCATCAGAAGGGTGCTCCAATCCATTGGGTGGTGGCAGAGAAGTTTGGTTTGGCTTCCATCAATCAGTCAGACCTTCATTATGGAAAATGATGTTAAATATTGATGGTAGGTCCTACAGAAACCTTTTCTTCTTCCTTCTTTCCCTTTCAATGGAAAGGCAAAAATTGAGTTCATTTGTTTGATTCCTTCAGAGTTTCCTCAGTATTGCTGTAATTCAATGTTAATGTTTTTGTCTACAGTGTCTGCAACTGCATTTTACAAAGCACAGCCAGTTATTGAGTTCGTGTGTGAAGTTTTGGACTTCAAAAGTATTGAAGAGCAACAAAAACCTCTGACAGATTCCCAAAGGGTAAAGTTTACCAAAGAAATAAAAGGTAATAATTAAAGTACATAAAACTGCTTTGTTCTGTCTGATGATGTTACCACTACAAGCTCAAAATGCATTCTATAGAGGTCGTCTTACTGGGAGACAGATTATCATAACACATGCACTTTCTGAGCAAAGCTAAGAGGCAGGAATTGTTCTATCACTTACATGTATTTTGGGACTTTCAGAAGTCAACCAATCAATGTTATGTTTCAGTCTACTTGTCTTTTTTTCCTGCTACATTAGTTAATCTCTGTAGTTTGCCACTTTGTGGATATAAGGTAAGTTGAGTCAGTTCAGATAAGGATGTGGCTTCAGGTTTGATACATCACTAGTGCAGAAAGTAAGCATATTTATTTATTTACTGAACCATCTATATTTAGGGCTCAGGTATGCACATAAGTAAATTATCAGATATTCAAGAATCTGTGTTTTAGTGCAACCATTAAGATGATGTTTTACTCTAAATGATGGGCTGAACTAAATTTTCTAGCAGACAGATGATTATTTTAATGACATTAGTTACTGGCTCGTGATGTGTGCAAGCTTTTCCTCATTCAAGTGTAGGTTCTCTTGACATACCTTCATTTATTACATTTTTTTGTGGCTCAGCACCACTTGATGAAGTGTCATGTCGAAGTTAATGGCGTGTGTTAGCATCGGAGAACATCTCAGTGCAGAGAGAATACTGAGATCTTTCCACTATGGGGAACAGCATCCTGTATTATGTCAGTCTCCTTAAAAACATTTGATCTTCCCAAATTAATATTGTAAGGCCAGGTTGGACAGAGCCTTGGATGTCATGGTTTAGTGTGAGATGTCCCTGCCCATGGCAAGGGGGTTGGAACTGGATGATCTTAAGGTCCTTTCCAAACCTAACTATTCTATGATCCTGTATTTACTGTAGTGCTTTACTCTTCATAAAGTACCTCCATCTCTACAGTAAACAGGCCAACAAAAAAATCCATTTTTTTCACTTCTGAAATCGTTTGGAAGTGCCAGTCCCAGTTCCATGATAAAGACATTCCAGTTCCTGATCTGATGGTACCAAAACGTTTATAAAGACCTGGGTTTTATGTGGCCTTTGGTTTGTTTGTTTTTTAGATTACCTGATCTTAGATTTTTCCAATTACTGATGCCAAGATTTTCACATTCTAAATTAAACTGTAATTTAGTGATGTGGTTTTGCGCACTGAGGTATTTCATACATATGCTCTCCTGGAAGCAAATTATGCTAATCGTAACTTTAATTCTAAAAGTAAGTTATTCTAATACGTAATGACTGAATCAAAGAGTAGGAGAAAAGGATCTTTCTGGTTTTGTTCACTAAAGGTTTCTTCTGAAAAATCAAAGTCTTTCCTTCATGATGTGCTTGATAGAAAGGACGTTAAAAGAGAAAACCAAGCTCTAACTCTATCCTGCAGCTTCCTTGTGGCCATAAAATGTCCTCAAAACTGTGTTTGCCCAATTAGAAGTTAGCAAGAAAACTATAAATAGATCCTGTGTTTGTACAGGTTGTAACTGTTTTCCAGAGTAATCAGGCACTGAATTGCCAGGTGGTGGTGGTGTTTTTTCCACGAGGATTTCCATTCTTCAGGTGGAAATGACCATTTCCAGTGTGCAGCAGAGCTCGGTGTGAGCTGAGGTCACAGTTTATCTTTTAATGAAATGCTAGGCTACAGAATTTAGAGATATTAATAAAAACATGAAATTATTGAAGGTTTTAGACCACGCAGCTGCTTACTCACATTCCCCCTTCTTCCTCCCCTGCTCCCAAAGGGATGGGGAGGAGAATCTAAAGAATGTAACTCCCATGGGTTGAGATAAGAGCAGTCCAGTAACTAAGGTATAACACAAACCACTGCTGCTACCACCAGTAATAATAATGATAAGGGGAATAACAAGGGAAGAGAATACAACCGCTCACCACCCGCCGACTGACCAGAGCAGCGATCACTCCCTTCCGGGTAACTGCCCCCAGTTTACATCCTGGGCATGACGTGCTGTGGTATGGAATACCTCTTTGGTCAGTTTGGGTCAGGTGTCCTGTCTCTGCTTCCTCCCAGCTTCCCCTCCTCCCTGGCAGAGCATGAGACTCAGAAAGTCCTTGGTCAAACTAAACATTACTGAGCAGCAACTAAAAACATCGGTGTTATCAGTGCTGTTCCCAGGCTGAAAGTCAAAACCACAGCACTGCACCAGCTACTAAGGAGAAAAATGACTGCTACTGCTGAACCCAGGACATAGCCCTAACAAATTACACTAAGATTAATACGTTGTTTGGCAAGTTATCAGTGCCTGTGGCAGATAGGGTAAATTCAGCAGCAGCCTGAGTTTATATACACGTGCAGATGTGTAAGGAATTCCAATCTACAGTCCCCTCTTTCGTATTCCCACACATGGCAACTTCCTATCTCTAATCCTGTCCACGTACATCTGTTTCTGCCTGAGCATGAAAGTAATAGAAATGAAAGCACTGCATTCAAGCTTATACTTGTGGGTAGTGGTAAATTGGAAACACTTCTTCATGGGGAGCTGTGTTGTGCTGGTTTGGGCTGCATAATTTATTCCTCTAGAAGTTATTCGCCTTCAGGTGAGCTTGGCTTTTATGCCAGTGGGATGTGCAGCAGATGTTTGTCTTCATGAAGAGTAAAGCCCCATGGCCTCATTCCCTTGGGCTCCTATAGGCTGAATAGGTATTTCCACCCCCTCTGACTCATTAGTTCAGGGTCGGTTGCAGTAGTTGGAGGTCTCGCAGGCACCGTATGTTTAGACATAAAGTATAAACAAGCTGTGTGCTTCAAGGAGGTTGCATGCCCTTTTTGTCCTTTCACCATCCTGGGCTTCCTAAGAGGTACAGAGTTGGAATTAACAGAATGCACTTTGCTTCGTCTGTGAGCTCTTGGAGCTGTGGGGTTTTGTCTTGTTTGTCTCTAAAGCTCTTTGTTGAACTTTAGCTGAAGCTCAGGGGCTTTGAATGTTAAAGCTATAAATTAGGCTTTTGAGTTCTGTTTGGGATACTCTTTGGTGTTCAGACGATGTACTAAATAGTGAAGAGCTTTACTGCAGAGTTACGTGGTCTGGTGTCGCAGTTTAGGGGGACTAACACCTTGATTTTGAAGAAATGGTGATACTTGTTTTCCAATGTGTAGGTCTGAAGGTGGAGATAACGCACTGTGGACAGATGAAAAGAAAGTACAGAGTGTGCAATGTCACCAGACGTCCAGCAAGTCACCAAACGTAAAGTATTTTGCTGCTTTGTAAGCATATGGTCAGTCTCAGGCCAGAAAAGTATCTGGCCTGGGGAAAAGTAGAATGGTATCTGGAAAAATAGAGAAGTATCTGTTCCTTACTGACATAGGAAGAGCTGTGTTGAGAAATGTTGCTTTCTTTGGTCAATATATTTACAATACACCTCAAAGTATTTACTCCGTGTTGCTGCTGGTTTTGTTCTAGTTTTACTCTAGAACAAATGCTTTGGTGTTTGAGCCAATCTCTTTGTTTTAATCTCTGCTGCTTTGGGGTTGGTTTTTTGGTGTTTGGGGTTTTTTGATTACCTTATTTCTTTATGGATTTCTCCAACATTGAAGAACAGGGTTGCACTATTGGTAACCTGATGCTTCCCAGATCTATTGAGTAGAAAAGCAGTGCCAGCTGGCATAAGCTTTCTAATCTTGATATTACCCATCGGTTTTTCCTGTGGAAATAATGTTTGTTTTCAATCACTAACCAGAGATTTACAGATAACTTGTATGTGGAGGTATTTATTCCTATTTTCAAGCCAGTGGTGTAAGGAGCCAAGCTAATCATAGACTCATGGCGTGGTTAGGGTTGGATAACAGCTGGATAACAAGAAAATAACTGATCAGTATCTAGACCTGGTATTTAATTGTCTGGGCTTTGTTTTGTGCTATCAGTGAAGAAACAGTGTTTGTGTGCCCCTTTGCATGCATATGCAAATGTGTGTGCACATACAGAAGTATTTGTGATGCACAGAAAGAGAGTAGTGCATTTCTGAAGCAGGAATTGGTTTTTGCAACTCTCACAGTACATTCGCTGTTTCCTGTGCATGCTGTATCATAAAATGTAGTACTACACATATCCCAGATAAGCAGGAAATACTAATCTTTGTCTCTAGGGCACATGCTCTAAGGAAACTTAATTCATAGCTTTAGGTATCAAGAATGTTAGAGAAATAGCCTGCTGTTGTACTGTTAGAAGACACAGTAGTGGCAGTGATGGAATCTGAATTCTAGAAGTACACTGTAGTGACAGGACAAGGGGGAATGGGTTCAAGTTGAAACAGGGGAGATTCAGGTTAAGATATAAGGAAGAAGTTGTTTACTGTGAGGGTGGTGAGGCACTGGAATGGGTTGCCCAGGGAAGTTGTGTTCAAGGCCAGGTTGGACAGAGCCTTGGGTGACATGGTTTAGTGTGAGGCGTCCCTGCCCATAGCAGGGGGTTGGAACTGGATGATCTTAAGGTCCCTTCCAACCAAAACCATTCTATGATTTCAACAAATTAGGTTTAATCTCCAGTAAGCTTCACTTGCTTAATACATTTATCAGCACAAGTGTGGGAAATTACATGAAGTAATGTCTTATTTTAATACTTGATTTCCAACAGATTCCCACTTCAGCAGGAGAACGGACAAACAGTTGAATGCACTGTAGCTCAGTATTTTAAGGACAGGCACAAATTAGTTTTACGCTATCCTCACCTTCCATGTTTACAAGTTGGACAGGAGCAGAAACACACATACCTCCCTCTTGAGGCAAGTAAACTTCTGGTTAATACTGGTGTTGGGAGAATGGGGGTTAGAGGCATATTAGCTCAAACCTTCCTTCACTGTACACGTGAAGGTAACCCAGCAGTCTTTGCATGATCCGCATTACAGAGTGATCTCATGAACTATTCTGGTTAATACTGGTATTGGGAGAATGGGGGGTCAGAGGGAAAAGGGCTCAACTATTGACAAGCTGATTTTTGAGTAGCCAACTTTCCAAATTCTCTAGTGCAGCAATGAAAAGAATGCAACAAATCAACCCCCCGTTACACTGTGCTTTTTAACTTCCTTTGGGGGGGGGACATTTCAGGTGTGCAACATAGTGGCAGGACAAAGATGCATAAAGAAACTGACTGACAATCAAACTTCCACTATGATTCGAGCAACTGCCAGATCAGCACCTGACCGTCAAGAAGAGATTAGCAAATTGGTGAGTGGTCTGTTGAAAATGAGTGAAACACAGTAATGGCCTTCATTTTATTGCCATTAGCAGATACTGAATGGTTTGTGCACTATGCACAGGTTGTGAGCTTGTTTTTATAAGCCTTTGCCCATTAATGTGAGAGAAATACATTCTCACAAAATGTTTTTAAGTGGGGTTTTTTGGGTGCTTTATTTCAAATGTTGAGGCATCCGTGTATCCAAGTGGAGTTAACAGAGGTTCTGGATGCATGGCATCACCCATATATAAGGGGTATGTGCCCAAACACAGGTTATCTCAGATTTAGATCATAAAAAGAACTTCTTTTTGTGCAAGAGGTGTCTAATTCCTTTGTAATTTCAGATGCGGAGCGCGAGTTTCAATACTGACCCTTATGTTCGTGAGTTTGGAATCATGGTCAAAGATGAAATGACAGATGTGACTGGTCGAGTCCTGCAGCCTCCTTCCATCCTCTATGGAGGCAGGGTACGTGGAACACATAGTGTGCAATCTGTGATAACTTCTGTAATATGGTGGTTTCAAGTTAGTTATGTTGAATATGATGAGACAATGAATATAAAGTCATCATAATGTTTAGAATTTAAGTGTAAACTTTGAAAGGCCTTAAATGTAATGGCCATTTTGCATCTCCCTCAATTGCTTCTTTATTTCTGAAAGGTTAAAAATCCTTAAGGTAAAGTTAGGAGGAAAAGGTGTGTATTTTTCCTTCACACACTGTTCTGTTGTGTGTTGCAAAAAGAAACCTATGAATAATGGTTCAAGTCAATGTGTATGAGAAGAACAGAGACAGCTTCAATTACTACTGTTCCTATTTTCCTCTCAAATCTGAAATCTTACAGAACATCTCATTGGTTTTGTGTGTTCTGGGTGGCAGCTGTGTTTAGGACAATTAGCTTCAGGTATCTTCTCTGTCAGCATGTTTTTCTCTAGAGCCGTCTCTTCCTGTTGGAGTATTTACTCACAGGTTTTGTTTTTACAATGGCTTTTGAGGTGGCCTTTCCAACATGATCTTCCTATTGTGGTATCCTTCAAAAAAACTTCAGGAAACAGAATTTTCTATCAGTTCTATAACATGTCTTGGTTTTATGCAAGATGAAAGGTTGATAGCTGGGATAACATCATTTGTGGAGGCTTCTGATGTGCCTCTTCTAGATCATATCTGAAGGGGGCCTACAAGGATGCCAGAGAGGGACTCTTCATCATACAACTGTGGAATAGTTAGGGTTGGAAATAACCTTAGGATCATCCAGTTCCAACCCCCTGCCATGGGCAGGGACACCTCACACTAAACCATGTCACCCAAGGCTTTGTCCAACCTGGCCTTGAACACTGCCAGGGATGGAGCATTCACAACTTCATTGGGCAACCCATTCCAGTGCCTCACCGCCCTCATAGTAAAGAACTTCTTCCTTATATCTAACCTGAACTTCCTCTGTTAAAGTTTAAACCCATTGCCCCTTGCCCTATTGCTACAGTCCCTTATAGGTGTGTCGTCGTCCCCCCCCCGAGCATTCACAACTTCCCTGGGCAACCCATTCCAGTGCCTCACCACCCTCACAGTAAAGAACTTCTTCCTTATATCCAGTCTAAACTTCACCTGGTTTAGTTTTAACCCATTACCCCTTGTGTCCTGGCACTACAGTCCCTAATGAAGAGTCCCTCCCCAGCATCCCTATAGGTCCCCTAAAGGAGGACCTATAAGGGTCTGTAGCAATAGGGCAAGGGCAATGGGTTTAAACTTTAACAGAGGAAGTTCAGGTTAGATATAAGGAAGAAGTTCTTTACTATGAGGGTGGTGAGGCACTGGCACAGGTTGCCCAATGAAGTTGTGAATGCTCCATCCCTGGCAGTGTTCAAGGCCAGGCTGGACAGAGCCTTGGGAGACATGGTTTAGTGTGAGGTGTCCCTGCCCATGGCAGGGGGGTTGGAACTGGATGATCTTAAGGTCCTTTTAAACCCAAACCATTCTGTGATGCACAAATCAGACTGTTACCTCCATAAACTGCCAGTGGGAGAGGATCTTGTGTCTTCTACCTAAAGTTCTTCAGACAAAATTGGGCATATTAGCTCAAACCTTACTTCACTGACACGTGAAGATAACCCAGCAGTCTTTGCACGATTCGCATTATAGAGTGATCTCATGAACTGTTCTGGCACCAGGGGAACAAGAGCTTAATGTCAGATGAATGATGGAAACGAATGATGGGGGTGGTAACGTCTTCAAGAGACACAACCCTTTTGCAAAATGAATTATGAAATTTGTGTGGGTGTCCTGAAAAATACCCCTAACTTTTAGCTGTTGCTGCCAAATGAGAAGTCAGACGTCATGGGAACTTGTCTAAAACATCTACAGGATACTGCTACCTTGTAAGGCAGTTAACATCACCAGAGTTACTTCAGTTGTCTCATTATATCCCTTGTCCTCGAGATAACCCATCAAACTAATGTCTGCTTGATGGGAGAGAGGAAAGTGTTGTGCAGGTCAAAGCTGAATAACTGATTGTCTTTGTCAGCTTGTTCACATTTTTCCTATAGAGTTGTGTGAATGGCATGAAACCACTGTTTGCCTCTACTTAGTCATGTTTAAAGGACTGATAAAGTCTCTCTGGAAATTTCACTGAGTGGTTGTAAAGTCGCTGTGGAAATAGCATTGCATACCAAGTGTGAATCCGATTGCTATCTGTGTGTAATTTCTACCTGCTGCTGATTTATATAACCAAATAAAACCATCAGCAATAAAAATGAACAATGTGAGCTTTATTTTTCAGCAAAATGATTGCTACAGTGATAAAATGAACTTTATAAGATAGGATAGATGTTTGAGTAGTGGAGACAAAGACTTCAGAATGGAAGTTGCCTACTAGGGGGAGGGAAGTAGAAGCAGGACTGGTTTATGTTGGCTTGAATCAATTTTTGCCTTAGTGTTTAGTTTTCTTTTTCCTTGCACTTCCAGAATAAAGCAATTGCTACACCAGTTCAAGGAGTCTGGGATATGAGGAATAAACAGTTTCACACTGGAATTGAGATAAAGGTTTGGGCAATCGCGTGCTTTGCTCCCCAGCGCCAGTGCACTGAAGTTCATCTTAAGTAAGTGTTTTTCATAAGATGGTGATTTTCTTATTTATTATGTATGGAAATACCATAATCTCACTTATTTAGAACATGTGAGTTGTTAAATTGTTTGATGGATGGCAGTCAATCTTTAACAGTGCTTCTGAAGTTCTATTTGAAGTTCTATTTGAAGTTGAGGCTGTTCAGCCTGGAGAAGAGAAGGCTGCGTGGAGACCTCAGAGCAGCCTTCCAGTATCTGAAGGGGGCCTATAGGGATGCTGGGGAGGGACTCTTCATTAGGGACTGTAGTGAATAGGAGAAGGGGTGATGGGTTAAAACTTAAACAGGGGAAGTTTGGATTGGATATAAGGAGGAAGTTCTTTACTGTGAGGGTGGTGAGGCACTGGAATGGGTTGCCCAGGGAGGTTGTGAATGCTCCATCCCTGGCAGTGTTCAAGACCAGGTTGAACAAGGCCTTGGGTGAGATGGTTTAGTGTGAGGTGTCCCTGCCCATGGCAGGGGGGGTTGGAACTTGATGACTTTAAGGTCCTTTCCAACCCTAAATATTCTATGATTCTGTTTCATTGCCTTGAATGATGCCACTGTGATTTCAATGCTAGCACCATGAAATCCTCCATATCAGACTTACCAAAAGCAATTTACACTATGTGGCAGGTTTTCTGACAGTGAGGCCTTAGGGCAGACCTTAAGATTAGAAAAAGGATGTAATGATAGGTGTTTATCACCTAGCATTTGTCAAGTGTGAAAGCTAACACATGTGTTGTCTTAGATTCTTTTCCTGGTTATATTCATGCAGAACTTACTTAAAAGGAAAGCTTTAAAAAGCAATCCAACTTTTGTCTACGACTTTCTAGCTGTTAGAGTATCTGTAATGTGCAGGTTGCTGCATTTGCAAGGTGAGTAGGACTAGTTGTTTGGTTGACTTTGAATAGTTGAATGAAACTTCCAGATTTGGTTTCATCTGTTTTGGATGGAACATGAAAACCAAGTTCTTTCATTCATTAAAACACATACCATGTAACATCCATGAACTACATGAATGTTAAAAATGACATCCTGGAGCAACCTGGTCTAGTGGGAGGTGTCCCTGCCCATGGCAGGGGGTTGGAACTGAATGGTCTCTATATCCCCTCCAACCGAAACCATTCCATGAGTCTATGAAAACCAGGTTGTCTCTGTTTCTCACCAGTTCCATCAGAGGGTGAGTTATATTTGCACTATCCTTGGAGAAGGTTCATCTAAATGTCCAGAGCACACCTTTTCTGTGATAACCAGCAAGGTTTTCTTGTGCATTATTACTGATGTTAGATCAGTTCACTGAGACACAATTGCTGGTAACTTCTGCTGGTTGTTTCCTCAACAAAATAAAGGAGGAACTTCAGACATCTTGGTGATACCATGTGGAAGTATGGTAGAGCAGGCCATCCAAAGGATCATTGTTGCAGTGTTTTGGCACAAAGTAGCTTACCTCCTACAGAAAGATCAAATAAGGTGGAATTTGCTTTGGAAATGAAGTTTTTAGTAATGGTGTCATTTATACTCTGTATTTCCTCATCTTCCCCTGTCTTTCCTTCGGGGACTGCATAGGGATAGTCAATTAAAGATGCATTGGGGGAAATTCCCAGCTTTTTGGACAGCTCATCTCTGCAAGTTTAACAGGGCTGTTCCATTAAAAATAAGAACAAAAATCAAGGTGAATTTTGCTACCTGAGGATCAAATGTGTTCATTTCCATCCCTTAGGTCCTTTACAGAACAACTGAGGAAGATTTCCAGAGATGCAGGAATGCCAATCCAGGGGCAGCCATGCTTCTGTAAATATGCCCAGGGAGCTGACAGTGTGGAGCCCATGTTCAGACACCTCAAGAACACTTACACTGGGTTGCAGCTCGTGGTAGTAATTTTGCCAGGAAAAACACCAGTCTATGGTCAGTAAGTGCAAATCCTGTGTGTGTGTTTCAGACACAACTTCGTGTCTCTTTTGGGAAGTATTTGAATGAGAGAAGTTTATTTTAACTACATCAATTCCATTTAGGGAATGGGCTATAAATGATTTTTATTCTCCTTGTGCTGTGTGATGTTTTATATGAAGTTCTTAATTCTTTTCATTAGTTTTGTCTATGCTTTTAGTTTGCTCTTCCACATTCTTCCTGTTGGCTGCATTTGAGATGCAGTGAGGGAGAAAGCTAAAGCAGGGCTTTTGTGAAATGGATTAAATTGATACGTCCTGGATTAAAATATACTTTCTGTAACTTGTGTGCTCAAAATTCCAAGTGATTGAAGAAGTAATGACCTCAAGAATTATGTAGCCTTTAGAACTTCTTTGCCTACTCATGCCATCACCCTTTGTCAGAAGAAGTTGAGTGAAAGAGAAGATTGTGTCAATCACTTCCTTTTCCTATTCTTTCAGGTTTTTTAACTCTTGGGTTGTAAGGATCAGGTGGTAAAAACTCAGCAACTTCAGCTGGTCTTTGTGGAGGCAAACTGACACTTTACATAGCACATACACATAGGTTTTAATATGTTTTAGATAAACCATGCATTTTGGTATTCAGCTAGCTTTTACTATAGCAAGATTGGGTGGTTTCCTATCCTGCCTTCCTCCTCCTTCCACTTAGCTTGCCCAATTGCAGCACCGTCCACTATTTTCTCCTGTAGCTTCATGGACAGCTTCTCTAATGTCTCAGATCTAACAAGCAGCTGCAGATTTGGTTTATCCCATCCCTCACCAATTTAATACAATAGAAAATAATTTCCTAACTTTCTTTTCCCAAGATTACCTCATCTAAGATGAAAAGAGAGGTTTAAGAAGGAAGCTTCCTTGCAAAGCAGGTGGCTCCTCTCTAATTTGTTCAATAGAAATTCAGTGCAAAATGACATTTTCACTTTTCCTGCTTGGCATTAAAAGGGGACTCTTTACTTAACCGCTAAGAGGATGTGGTACCACTCGCATCTGCTTTCCTTGTCATTATCTTTAATTACAGTTCTTTCTGCCCCCTCTAATCATCTCTCTTTGTTTTCTCCCTGTGTTCTCCCATACTCTTGCTCTTCCTATAGCCACAGTCTTGTATTTTCTCCTCTCCTCACCCTGTTCCTCAGAAAGCCTCTTTCCATCTCCTGTTGCCAGAGGAGGGGCTGCATCTTTTCTAAGCCTGTCTTGGAGCCTAAATGTCTTCTGAGTATGGCTCTTTTAAAGCCTTTAAGCCTTAATTTTGTTGTTAACAATAGGATTTGTTTTGACCTTTTGAACAATAAAGTTCTTAATAAGTTCCTTTTGGAGTTTTTATGGGCCATCCTTTGGTGAAGTGGCCACTTCTTCTGCAAGGGGTGAACTGATAAACTTGTTGGCTGAATGTTACTTAGCACATTAATATGGAGTTTGTGTTACTGGTCTGGTGTTCCAGAATGAAACAAGTGCTTATCATCATCATACTTTTCACATTACCAGCTCCATTGGCAAAGGCTTTTCCGTGCTGATAATAAAACACTGTTACTCTAAAATTACAATTAGTGTCATTTAAAGAAAAATCATCGCTAAAATAAGCCACTGGTGCCTTTTAATTATATTTAGGACCCAGTGACTGTGCTGTTGGCAGGTGGAGCAGGAGGGAGGTTCATTGAAGGCTGTGTTTGGGGGTTATGTTTCTCCTTGTTTCTTTAAGCTTAAAGACCCCTTTGCTAAATCTCTGTGGGTAGTTCATTGTCACTGAAGGTCTCTTGTGTTGTTTGTCTTGCCATATGCAAGTATTTATTGGTCGTAATTTGTTCTGCAGCGGAGGTGAAGCGTGTTGGTGACACGGTGCTGGGGATGGCTACGCAGTGCGTCCAGATGAAAAACGTGCAAAGAACAACACCACAGACTCTGTCCAACCTTTGCTTGAAAATCAATGTCAAGCTAGGAGGCGTGAATAACATTCTACTGCCACAGGGAAGGTAAGCTGGCTGTCAGAGAGGAAGGGGGAGTTGCAGCATAAAGAGAACACAGGTCGTACTAGGATAACTGCGTGTTTCATGTGTAGCCATAGCACTGTGGTTTACGTGACTCTTGGGTTACAGAGACTGGAGAGGAATACGTGTTCCAGTTGACATTTGTTATTTCAGTCTGACCATTGGAGTGTACAGCTTCCACTTGAATGAAACGCTTGTGATGCTTTACTTGCCTTGAGTTTCCAGAAGCAAATGGAGAAGTGCCTTTTACTTTATAGCTTGTGGTCAAGATTCTTTGTTTTATTGTATGTCTTCACTTACATAGACATTTAAAAAAACAAGCTGGGAGCAGAAAACGCTTTAACTGGTTTCCAGGTTCAGTTTACATTGCAATTTCTTAGTATTGCATTGATAAGTCTTAGTTATACTGTTACTACATTCCATGAAGTTGCTTTGATACTACTGAATTGCATATCTGACATGTCACTGAAGTCCTGCATATAGGTGGGAGTGAAATATTAACAGAAGGGACCTTGCTGTTGATACACAAACCAGATTTAGTCTTTGTCTGAAATCAAATGTTCTTAAACTGAAACTAATTAAAAGCTTTACTGAAAAATCAGTGACAAGAAATCCTAATGGAAGAATGAACAAAGTAACAGCTTTTGCCTATGCAGGATAGACGAGCCGTGCATAAAGAGATAGACACTTGAATCAAAGCAAACAACTAGGTTTTGCATCATTAAGAAGATGGCATTTTACAATCACTGCATTTCAGTAAGTAGAGGGAGCTCGGGGTAGGATCTGCTGCATCGTTCTTGGGAGCCTGTTTTAAAGAAGTCAGTGTTCTGCTTGGCCCAGATAAGCAAAGTTTCACTTCAGTATACTTAGGCTCGCCAGAAGGTGAAATTAAGAAGTTAGGGAGGAAAAAGAAGAACATGGTATCAGGAGGGATATATATATTGTTTGTTAAATCCTGTTTCTTGAGCTAAATATAGTCAGCCTGGGTTGTGTGCTTGCTGCAGGCTCCTGCTAAATAAAATCCTCATATTACAGAGCATGAATTAGAGCAAGGCACAGTGGGGTGTTTGGGTCTTTGGTTTTAGTTTTGTTTCTCCGAAAGGAGCTAAAGATACTGCTGTGGAAACAAAATAGAAACACACATCATATAAGTAGTTCTATGCTCCTTTTTCATAAACATAAGGCCTCTGTTAAGTGTTGTGTGTTGACAGTAATAATGTGGCCAGAAAGGTGATTTATGTTCATTATACCAAGAAACTGCATTTGTGAAAATGGAGTTAAGGGGGGAAAAAGTGGCACCACTACACACCATACCTGGGCATTCTGGAAAACTGCAGGATTGGGGTATTTAAACCAGAGCTCTGTTATTTTCTGTTGGTTGAGGGGATGGGAGCAGAACAGCTTTTTATTTGTATAATTGCATTGTGAGTTCCAGTGCTATAATTACCTTCAAATGCCTTTTTAGAGAAGGTCTGAAAACAGCTGAATGTACATCACTGTTTCCCGCACACCCACATACACAGATTCTGCTGGCCTAAGATTTCTTGTTTAAAATTGTTTTATTAAGGAATAGAGTTGAAGTTTAAAACTCCCAGTCTAGTCTTTTGGTGTTCTACCCCTGATGCAGTGATTGATGTCTTAAAGGTTTGCTTAAAACCATCATAGAATCATAGGATTGGGTTGGAAGGGACCTTAAGATCATCCAGTTCCAGCCCCCTGCCACAGGCAGTGACACCTTCCACTAGAGCAGGTTGCTCCCAGCCCCGTCCAGCCTGGCCTTGAACACTGCCAGGGATGGGGCAGCCACAGCTTCTCTGGGAAAAGCATAGTTTTCTTCAGAATAATCTACTTTTAAAGTAATTGCTACAATGTCAAGGCCAGTTTGGATGTGCAAATTGTTGACTAATTCACTGCAAGGGTATAAAGTGCAATTTACCTGTTTATAATGTGCTTTATTAAGCATAAGCTTTGCTGCTTTTACAAGTCTCCTTTCTCTTTGATCAGACCACCAGTGTTTCAACAGCCCGTCATATTCCTTGGTGCAGATGTAACTCATCCTCCAGCTGGAGATGGAAAAAAGCCTTCCATTGCTGCAGTGAGTAAATTGTGTAATGATCTTTAACCCCCGCTCTGTCCTGCTGTTCATCTCCAATGCATTTTATTGGTTTCAATTCTTTTGTGGTCCATTTCTTCTCTCCAGTTATAGTGTTATAAATGACTTTTCTGCAGGGATCTAATGAACTTCAGAGAACTTGCTCCAATACTAATTCCTTACATGTGTATAGTAGCTTGTAAAATGCCTGGGTTGCTGCTACACAGAGGAGCTTTTCTATTAGCTGCTATTTATCAGCACCAGTAATGAGTTGGTGCCTGTTTAAATCTGCTTATTCAGTAGTTAAAAATGTTAAGACTTTATCCATTACTGCTGGGGAGCTGGGTTGGCTTAGTTGTAGTTTTAGGTTATTCAAGCTTCCTCATAACACAAAATGTGCAGTAATCTCTTGGAAAGGCTGGGAATGAAAATCTCTGGGGAATGGCCTTTGACTGCATGATGTTAAAACACCTGTAGTGCCTGCTCTGGCTTATTGAATAATGAAGATGTTTGGTGACGGTATGTGCAGTGTCTTATCTGTGGTGCTAAATACACAAAGAACTGAAAAGCCTTCCCTTGGCAGGCAGTGTCTGTTTTAACTGACTTGCAGAGTGTGAATTTGACTCCATCTTTGCTAGGTCAACCACTTAGTTTACACGATACTGTTAGTAAGTGAGTGCACTTACCTTCATGAAATACCTTTAATAAAGTGCTTTGAATGGTTTGATACTAAGCATGTTCTCCAACAGGTTGTAGGAAGCATGGATGCTCATCCTAACCGATACTGTGCCACTGTTCGGGTCCAGCAGCACCGCCAAGAAATCATCCAGGATTTGGCTGCCATGGTCAGGGAGCTGCTTATTCAGTTCTACAAATCAACTCGATTTAAACCAACTCGTATCATCTTCTACAGAGATGGTGTTTCCGAGGGGCAGTTTCAGCAGGTTAGGTTTTTTCTTGCTGAGGTTTTGATTATGTAGGTTTCTGGTAGTAATGTAGCTTTATGTAATTGGAGTTCTGAAAAGAAGTATACCCTCTACAAATTCCTTGCATTCTAACCAAGCAGAGCAGGGAAACTGCTTTCATGTCTTTCACGAGCTTTGTGTTTAATAGTTTCCTCCTTTAAAGTCATGGAATAATAAAATGATACTTCAGTTTGCATTATTTCCCTTTGGAATATTTTGCCTTTGAAATACTTCCCTTTGCAAAATTACAAATGATCAAGTCTACTTCTAGCATTCAAGTTATGTTCAGTATCTGTGACCTGTCCAAGATACATTAGTCCAACTGTATCCCATTGAACTTGGACTATTTTTAAATGAAAAGTATAAGCTACTTTTCCTATTTTTTAAACCAGGATTAATAAATGCTGTATTTTCACATTGCCACTTTTAATTCATTCCTGATGAAACTCGACAAATTCTTGTAATTCTTTTGTTTGCTTACAAGTACCATATTTTATGAGATATTTTCCTATATGGGTTCAAACTGAAACAGGGCAAGTTCAGGTTGGATACAAGGAAGAAGTTCTTTACTGTGAGGGTGCTGAGGCACTGGAATGGGTTGCCCAAACAAGTGGTGAATGCTCCATCCCTGGCAGTGTTCAAGGCCAGGTTGGACAGAGCCTTGGGTGACATGGTTTAGTGTGAGGCATCGCTGCCCGTGGCAAGGGGTTGGAGCTGGATGATCTTAAGGTCCTTTCCAACCCAAACCATTCTGTGATTCTGTAAATTTTAAAGATATTCACATACACTTTTCTGTATTTTTATGTGTAAATTTAAAGATAGAGAATTTAGTGAATTTCTCAAAATCCAAGGGGAAGGAAGTAAAGATCACTTGGTAAACTTGAATTAAGAAAATAATCTTAGTATGAACTTTTGATTTTTTTTTTTTTTTTTCCCCCCTTTTTTTCAGTGATTACTTTATAATTAACCCAAATCCCAAACAACTGCTTTTTGTTCTATTGCCTTCCCCTTCTCCATTCTTACTGATGCCTGCAGTCCTGCCGGAGACTTCACAAAGCTGGGAAAGAGCACATAGTTGAGCAATTCTGGATTGTATCCCTTGTGCTAGCCTGAAAAATAATGAGGCTGTTGTATATTCACTAGCCTAATTAAATGTTCATTTGTATTTGGCAGTTAAGAAGATTTTGACATACAGCTTATTAGTCCAAGCCTTGTGCTTGGAGCTGAACAAATATGGAGCCAGCTCTTTGCCTGGCTCAGGAAACTGGTGATTTAATTTGTTCTCATTAAGTGAAGAGATGAAGGTTTGATGCTGCATGCTTTGACATCTCATTACTGAGTGACAATGAGGAAGGAACATGATAAATAAGAGTCATCTGCAGATAAATAGGAGTAAGAGATAACTATCTTTCGTATTTATCATGCATCTTTGTGTTTATGATTCAGGTCCTCCATCATGAGTTGCTGGCTATCAGAGAAGCATGCATTAAACTAGAAAAGGATTACCAGCCTGGAATTACTTTCATAGTTGTGCAGAAAAGGCATCACACCAGACTCTTCTGTACAGATAAAAATGAACGGGTATGTTCTAATTGGGACCAGCAAGTACCTAGCAGGCAGCCAAGTTCCCTGTTACTCACTCCTTGTTTAGGTAGTAAGAGACTTGTTTGAAAAACTACATAATACAGTGGGTGAGATCCTTTTATCTGGAAAGGAAAACCTTTGTTTTGTGTCCCATATAATAAACTGGTAAGAAGCTTTTATGAACCATCAGCAGGATTTGCTTTTCAACAAGTCTGTCCAGCCTTTATCAGATTTTTCAGGCTTCTTTTCCTTTGTTTTACTGTCTGAAGATCCTCAAGGGTTGAGATTAATCTGAGTGGTGAAGGGTTTATAATGCAGATATCTGCATCTGGAGTTGTAGGCACTCTTGGTTGCAAATGGAGATCTGTGTATTATTTCCAACTGCACTTTAAGGCACATTTCTTGTGATTCCAGCGCTAGTAAGTTCACTGGTTTGGTTATCGTTGACTAGAGAGGTACTCTTGGGTTACCAGCAGGTGTAGACACCTGCACAGTAGACAAATTGTTAGGTAAGGTGAACCCTACACTTTGAGGACACTTTCTTTTCCATTATTGCTACCTTTAAGGTATCCTGTGTGTCTAATGTCAGACATGTGGAGTTTGTTTTGGTACCACCTTTGGTACCAGTACATTATTTGTAGTACTGAAAATCTCAAATGGTTTCATGAGTGTTTCTCAGCTGTTACTGTATCTGTGTGAAGTACATGTAGAATTACTTGATGCGAGGAGATTCCTCAAGTCTGGGATGGAGTCATTGCTGTAAGTGAAGAGTTCCCAATGGCAAACCTCTTTTCACAGATGAGTTTTTTCATGTTGTTCTTCCTTGTGTCAGGCTTCTCTGTGAGCATTTGAAGCCCAGTAGGTTTCAAGGCAATAGTAACTTTAAATGCTGCCATGAAGGTGGTTTTTATATTGATAACATACTACGATAACAGTTGTTAAATTGTTATAAAGAGTATTTTAAAGTTCTGCTTTTAAGTAAAGTGGTTTTGAGGGAAGAGGAGGCCTGTCTTACAGCTGTCCTCTTTCAGGTATAAACAAGAAAAGTTAGAGGGGAATAACCTGTTCTGGGGTAGGAAGATGAAAAGAAATTGACAAATGAGTTGCAGGAAATTCTTTTCACATTAATCAGAAAAGCTAATCCGTGGGTAACTTCTAAAAAGGTTTTTCAGCTCTTTTTTCCCCTCCATAGTAGAGACTCCAGGTTTTCAGTTGAGCAAAACTTGAGTTATTTCAGTTTTGCTTATTGTTTCATTTTGCTTTTCACCGTTTTTGTTTTTTGTGGTCTTTCCTTACTCTGCAGCTGCAAAGGACAAACTCTGTGTGTGCCTTATTGTCTTGGCATTTTCTGTTCACACAGGTTGGAAAAAGTGGAAACATTCCGGCTGGTACCACAGTGGACACAAAAATCACCCATCCATCTGAGTTTGACTTTTACCTGTGTAGTCACGCTGGTATTCAGGTACAGCACTTTGTGTGGGATGGTAACTTTCAAACACTGGTTGGTAGTATTTTCTGTGTTCTTTGCACAGGAGACAAAGGGTACAACTTTCATGTGTGTGTGTTTCAGCTTCTGTGCCATCCACAGCGCTCTTCTGTCATGATTAAACTCTAACAGAAACAATGAAACTAAGCAGTTATGAAGCATCCCCTGTGCATTTAGTTTATTGTGCTTCTCTCCTGTCTATGTATTGCTTTGAATGGTCGGAGGTAGTTGGACTATCTTGCATAGCTGCCTCTTGCATTAAAATCACTTGAAATGTGCATCCAGTTCCTAGGAAACAACTACATTTAGACAGCACCATTGTAATTTCACATATTCTTGTGATTTCCTCCTCCCAGTCAGGAACAGAAGCTAGTAAACAGCAACAGTACTGAATATGCTTTTATCCACAGTATTAAAATTTAACAGTCAACAGGGTCACCAGTTAGATTGCTGTGAGCTGTTAATATTTTGCCTAAAGATACTTTATATGATGGCTTTTTGTCAAAGTTGAGTTTACAAGACGAAAGCTCAGTTCCATAATATCACTTAATTTCAGTAACAGGGATAAAATCCCTGGAAACGCAATCCTATCTAGAAATGCAAAGGGATAAGTTCTGTGGGGGGCACTTTTTAAAGCAAAACTTTGCTGAAGGATGTGGAATTGATCACACATGATTTTTGAGGACGGGTCTGGTTTTGCTGCAGTTGTCCTGCAGAGGTGGGAACGCAAAGAGCTGTGTTTGAAATGCTGACATCCTGTGTGTGATCTGCCTTCAGGGAACAAGCAGACCTTCTCATTACCATGTCCTCTGGGATGACAATCGTTTCTCTTCAGATGAACTGCAGATTCTCACCTATCAGCTGTGTCACACGTATGTACGTTGTACCCGTTCTGTTTCCATCCCTGCACCAGCATATTATGCTCATCTGGTTGCCTTCAGAGCCCGGTATCATCTGGTGGATAAAGAACACGATAGGTAAGTTACATAGTTTTGAAATATAACAGAATTGGAAAGGAAGCAGGAAGGAGGTGGGCTTGTTCATTCTGGGGTCAGTAGTATCCTCAGTTAGCAGTTTGAGCGTAGATTTGGTCTTACCACTGAATGCTAACTGTGGAAAAAGGCAAATGTTCCATTTGCTTCTGTGCTTCTTTTGCTCTCAGAACCTCAGTGGTGTTTTAAGGGTCATTAACTTCTGACCATTCTATTCAGAACAAATGAATGAACCACCACCACATGCAAGGCCAGGCAGATTAAATAGGGTTTCTCTTCCCTCCAACCTTTTTGTTCCCCCCCCCGTTCTCTTGCAGTGCTGAAGGAAGCCACACCTCCGGTCAGAGTAACGGCAGAGATCATCAAGCACTTGCTAAAGCAGTTCAAGTCCATCAGGACACCTTGCGCACTATGTACTTTGCTTGACATGTTTTAATGTTTAGCAACTCAGTACAGTACAGAGTTGGATTCACATGAGACCAGCTGCACTTAGACCAACAGTTGCCCAAGCTACAGTGACAGCCAGCAATGAGTGATGCATCTGAATTCTTTTCCTTTCCCATTTACAAGCAAGCCTTCCGTCCAGAATTTCAGACTCGATTATGAACTGCGTTCTTGTACCAAACCCCACTATTGTTAGAAATGTGGTTTGCCAAAAGTCTCTAAGCTGCTTGCTATAAAACAGACCCTTATTTTATAATTGAATCAAGAGCTGTGATCTCAGGGCTTAGGGAAAAAACAAAAAACCAACCCCCAAACCTCCTCATTCAGTTTGCTATTCATTGAATCGCTTTTAATAATTTGGAAAGATCTAATTCATACTGGAGTTTGGGCTAAAATACCAGGAATTAGCTTTTAATACAAAGGAAAGCAAAGCTTTTTTTTTTTTTTTTTTTTTTTTTTTGGACTCTTGATGAAGCCTTGATGATTCTGGATGCATTTACAAAATTGTTATTTTTCAAAAGAAAAGAGTGACAAAATCCTGGTTTTCACTGTCTTACAAAGATCCTGCTCTGTGTGTCTAAGGGCAAATGTATTTTCTGAAGCTTGTTCTTGAATGTTTTTTATTGTGCTGCATTTGAAAATGTTTTTCATAGACTTAAAGAAGAATTTTAAAGCAAAGACTGAACTCGTACCTAAGCTTTTCGTAGGTCCACTTGGATTGGCAAAAGACAATGTGCCATTGAAAACCTGATTTGTAAGGAGTTTTTTAGAATCACACTGACAGCTAACGTTAGGGTTTGTCATCCAGGACTGTGACACTTACCTTTCCAAAGTCTCTAAAGAATACGGGTCTGTGGTGAGAAATACAGTACAATCCTTTTTCACTGTTGTTTGAGTTAATGTAAATTTTATATATGTTTCACAGTATTAATGTGATAGACTAGATGCTATTATTTATTTTTATTTACTAAGGAGTGCTCATTATACTTCTGTTAACATATCAAGAATGCTTTGGATTTGGAAATGAAAATGTTATCATGGGGACATTACTCTTCAAGTGCAAAAATATGCAATCGACTTTGGGAGGGTTCAGAGATCCAGGCAGTGTATATTGTGTAGCTTGTAACTTGTAGAAAGGCTTTTTAAGCGTGCACGCGACACAGCAGGTTGTACCTGTGCAGTTCAGAGACGCACACAAGACCAACATTCTACATTCATTCAAGCACAAACCAATTGTATGTTATTTATATGTTGAGTATTGGTGAAGCAGGAGCTCTGGTAGAGAGAGTGGCTCACTGTGATTGAGACAGAAGTCAGTATCTATGCAGTAAAGAGAAATCTTATGAAACTGAAGTTTACTTATGAAGGGAGGTGAAACTCTCTTTGTTATGCATAAGGTCAATAGTAAATGTGAGAGTTTTGGCATTCTCTTAGGAGAAGCATTAATTAAAACTGATCATTGTTAGACAAACGCTTCTGTTAGTTTGCACACTGGATTCATAACAAACCATAATACATATGTAAACCATTGCACTAATGATGATGCCACAAGCAGAAAACAGAAGAAGCCCAAGGAACTTGTTTATGCTGACTTGATTTTGTTTATTTTCTTAGATAACTGAAGTAACGTGCTATGAGGCAGGTTTTACACATGTCATTCTCTTCCACTGATCCATTTTGCTTCACCTTTTCCCTTCTCTCTCAGCAGATGCTCAGTCACTGTTTTGAATACATTTACCTCTAGCCACTCAAACGGGCGAGTAGCTTTAACCAGTACAGAGGTCTGTGCCATACAGCAGATAAACTAACCAGTTGCTGTTGAATAAGCTAGAAAATGCCCGACCTTTGCTGCATAAAGAGTTTTAGGTACATAACTTTGTGCAAGATCAGATCTTCAGCTTCTGTGTTGGTTGTCAGTGTTGTTTAGGTGAAATAACACTGTAAAACCTATTAATAGGTTCATTGTATTATTCTAACTTGGTGATTAGGCTGCTGGTTCAGATTTTCTTCTTGGTCATAGTTATGTAAATCCAGGTTTTAAATGTAAATCCAGAGTTTAAATGCTGGTATAACAGAAAGCAAATTCCAGGTCACGTTGTCTGTCTTTCTGTGTTCCAGCCTTTCCATGGTGGATGTGTTGTACTTCTCTGTGCGCTTGCTTGAGAGGTTTCATACTTCAGTGAAGATTTTAATTTGGCAGAGTTTTATATAAGAATTATTTTTTTATATGAATTATTCTTAACAAATAGGAAAAAATTCAACCCTTTAAAGACTCCATTTAGTTTATTTGATGTTTGTTATGCAGAGACCTCTTGGATGTGATATTCCTTCTCCTCTGCCCTCTCTGTGCAGATCTGGAGTAGTAAATGACTTATGCAGGTGGTCAGACGGGGTGAGGAGGGCAGAATCTGTCTTGACCTCAAATCTTATCTCTCAAGCAGACTGTGGACTTCACTGCATCCTGTTCAGGATGCAGTCTTTGGGCTGGAATACTTGTTGCCGCTCCTTGTTGTGAGAAAAGAAGTATTAGGCAGACACTTAATCTGAGAGTAGCCATTGTCTGTGTATGCTCTTGGAAACAAGGAATTTTATGTAGCTTTCCTTCCCCGAGCATGAAGAACTTGGGATGGTTCTATGCATTTCAGGCTAAGCACATTTTTAACTTTTACAATTGTTTTAATCCTCTTAATACTGCTAATTCTTTATGGCTTGATTTCTCCCTCCTTTCCCCTCTCCTCCTTCCCCTGCAAGTGGTGAATTAGTGGATAATTTAAAGCCTTTCTAAAAACATATTGATAAAGTTTATGCTTTGAAAAATACAGTGTGCTCTAAGTCCAGCAGCTACCTTTCTGGGAATGCTTTTAGTATAAATTACATATTCAAAAGTGTCTCCTGCCAAAAACCCTACCAAAACACCTAAACCCATATTCTTAGGGTCTTTTTCTTTCTTACCTCCCATGTGTCTTGTAAGAACAGCAGTATCTCAGGTAAACACAAAGCTCAAGATGTCTCTATCTCACACACATTCCTGCTGTTGAAGTCGCAGCTGAGGTAATTATAACCACTAAGTCACTATGCAGCTCAGGTCAGCAATAACCAAATGTGCGTTACCCTCTGGCAGTTGGGGTTTTAATCATCCCTTGCATGACTTCCATTGTAAGAGAGTGCTGAGCAGGACCTCATCCCTTGCCTTTCTCCTGCTCTTTATGTTCCTGGCAATGACCTTGTCCTTGAATTCGGCCATTGGTGCAGGTTGTCCTGGTGCTGAGAAGTGACAAAACCACCTTATTTCCCGTGCAGGTGTGAGCAGTGTGATGGATAAACTGATCACTGCCAGCACCATGCCATTTCTTTTGTTTTAAAGGAGTGTGCTTGAGGGATGAACTGAGTGCCTGCTATGGGTTTAGTTTTCTCTGATCTTGGTTTTTATGGAAATGGTAACACTGTTGAAACAAAAAATATTCCAAGATTCCAAGTTGGTTGTGGAATTTCTGTCTTCAGAGATGCTCAGACTTGGCTGGATGGGTCCTGGCACAGTCTCAGTTCACTGGACCTGCTTTGGGTACGGGGCTGGACCAGCCATCTCCAAAGAGTCTTTCTGAAGCATGGGGTTGTGTGGCAACAGCAGCTCCTTTTTGGGAGGTGAAAAATAGTATCAACAAACAAAATATACTTTAAAAATGTCCCTTTTTATTATTATTTTTATCTTATGTACAAAACATTACACAATAATTGTTTGCTTGGGTTTGGAACTTTCTGCTCCTGTGGCTGAATAGAAGAATAAGGTATCCACTTCATCTCTTCTAGCACTGGGGAACAGCCGAATTGATCCTTAGGAGGAAACGTCCTGTTGTGAAATGCTGAAAGTAGGTGGATTTGCCTTTGTGTTTATGAGTTTGGCATTCAAGATAGCCCTATGCAATCTTAACACTTCTAGTGTGTGTCTATGCACTGATGTATGGCGTGAGACCACCTGTTTTTGTTAGAGCTCCTCCTGGCCTGGTGTGGTTTAGACTGTTTCAGCAGTCATATTTGGCTTGCTGAATCACAATCAATGATATTCCATCTTTCCAAAGCTCTGGCACATGAACTTCCTCCTTTCTAGATCTGTTGGGTTTTGGGTGAGTTTGTTGTTTGCTGCAGTTGTTAGGGAAAGGTCTTAACCTGCTGGAGCCAGTGTGGAGAATTTACAGGCAGTTTATGCTTAAAACAAGAAATCCTAATAAATACTTCATCCAGGCCCCCAGGCAATGTGTCCTGATTGTAAAAGCAAAAAGGTTGTGAAGGTTTAACTTCAGTTCTGACTCTCTCAGTAACTCCCATGGCCCTTGTCCATTTTTAACTTGTTCACATCTTAGGGGATCACTTTTACAAGTAAGACAAAGAGATCCTATTTCCAAAAGGATTTTTCCATTTCAGCTCCTGAAGGGTAGGTTCTTGTGTGCCCACTTGCCTTCTGAAAAGACTGAAGTTTCTAATTGAGTTAAGAGGCTTCTGAAGCTTTTACCTCAAGTCAGATGTACATGCACAAAGGCTTTTGTTCAGCAGAAGATCAGGAGGGCTTTGCACCTTGTTGCCAGTGCTGCTGTCCTTTCTGCAGCAGTAGGTTCCTCAAATACAGTGGTCATCTGCATCTCCCCTGTAGAACCCCCAACATTTCTTATGCCAGTGAATTGCTGGAATTTAACTGAGAGCAAGGGCAGGAGGAAGGTCTGTGTTAACATCCCCCAGCCAAATAGAATGGATTGTTGTAGGGTTTTCTTACTGTACCTGTTTCTTTTTGAGGAAGAATGTTGGTATTTGAAGTGAGAACAGGTTGTTTCATGCTTATTCAAGACCACAAGTACTAGAAATGCAGCACTGGGACCTTTAGAGATTGAGATGGACACACTTGCCTCTGGATGTAACCAAGTTGAGCATCTGGTGGCATACATGGCCCGAAGGGACTTCTTTCTTTTTGAAGAGCTCTTTTACACATTAACTAAAGGAATGTAAGGAAAGTTTTCATTAGTATTTTTCACACTTGATACCAATGTAATAAAATCGCATTCTTTTCCTAGTTTTTTAATACTTTTCTCCTACAGTAGCATCTCTTCTTGTGTATTGATCCTGCCAATGTGGCTTTCTCAGTTTCTAATGCAGGGCAGTACATTGTTTCATTACTTTTCTATTACATTTGATAACATGCTTCTTGATGCATACATGCAGTCTTTTCTAAGGAAAACTTCAAGTAAAAGGTAATTGCACTGATTATTTTGTTTTTAAACTCCCTTTTTACTGTAGGACTTCTTTTTTGCGTCTGCTGTAGCTGTTTGACATACTGTAAATAGTGCTATGTATAGCAAATACTGAAATGCTGTGGGTACCATTCCTTGTTGTTCTTGCTTCTTGGAATGCTGCCATATTTTCCAGTATTGAGATATGAGCTTTGGGTTTTAAATGTTGTTATACTTTCTGTTTGCATCATAGAATGAATCCAAGGGCACAGTTGCTATATTACAGTGGAAGTATTTAGGGTTCATCTGAGTTTATAAAGTATTTCTTCCTTCTTTATGCACATTTCTCCCACACTGTAAAGATACAAGGACAGGTTTTAAGCCATCAATGTGCTTGTTATCTGTGCAATGTTTAAATGCCAATCTTTGATATCACTGTTAGATAACTTATAGCATTAATGTAATGTCCATACTATCAACTGTAGCTGTCACACGTGTTCCGTGCTTCTTCCAGCATCTAATTCTTGTGTCATATGAAGAACTGGTCTGTGTGGCAAAATCAGTGGAATATTAGGGATTTGGGATCCAAGTTGCAATGTCTTGCTCTCTGTCCCTCCATGGGTGTGATACTGTTGAGTGCAGTGGATGTTTCAGTGCTCTGAACTAAGAAATAGTGTTGTCTCTCTGATTGCCCGCATCAGAAAGCCATTGATCTCCTCTCCATCAGTAGTTGCCTTTTGCTTCTGTAACCCTTGGAAACAGGAGAGACCCAAACTCCAGCCCCATTGTTTAGCATTAGGATGCAGAACAGCAAGTTTTGCCTTCTGTTTCTGAGGGTTAATGACTGGAAAGATGCATTCAACTGAGATGGTTTTAATCTGAAGGTTGAGGAGGGGGGTGTTGTGTGTGCTTGGTGTGGCACCTAATCAGTTTTATCTCATTTAGTGTGTTTTAGTTGCTTTTTCTGTGTTGTTTCTTTGCCTGAAGTGTTAATATGAATGTAATGGCTTGGCCAAATCACTACAAAAGGTGGTTTTGTGATACTCTCTAGTATCAAGCAGATGCAGTTAAAGGCTACCTCCTGTATTCTTCCACAGATGAATTCATTTTTAAAGTGAACCTACTGCTAAGCAGCCAAAATATTCCCAAACCAACTATTTGTACTGTTCTGTTTCTTGCTAGTGAATTAGCAGTGCCATACTGTGATCTTGGATGGCTGCTCGTTGCTCCTTCCGTCTTCCTAAG